GGCAGGAGCGGGGCTGGCCACCGGCCCCCCGCCTGCCGGACACAGCTGTCCCGTGAGGACATAATAGCGCCCATTCAAAAAGCCCCGGGTTCATTTAAAGGGAGAACCGATTGGCGATGTTATTACAGGTGCGATGAAGAGCTGAGGATCGGCAGAGGCTTTATTTACACTTGGGGCAGAGAATTTCTAATGGAAATGAATGTTCACACGTGATTTATCCCACATAACAGGAGACGTCGCCCTGGGTTTACAGCTTCGCAGCCATCCTGGCTCTCCGTTCGGGCTGATACGCCATGCTTTAGCGGTAACTAAAGCACTGCGAACAAAGGCCCTTTCTGTAATGTTTCTGGCCCAACTCAGACCCTGCATTCTTCCGAGACCTGAGATAACGCTTTTTCCTTTTTTTCCCCTCTATCAAAAGACACCAAATCTCTGCTCAAGCTCTTGAAGTTTGGGATCGACTGGTGTTTTCTTTAGCTGTTTATCTGCAACTGAAAGACTGGCTTTCATTTTGCGATAAGCAACACTGTGGTTCATGGGGAGAATATAACGGGCTGAGGAAGCCATGTAATTTTTGGCCCGTTGCCCACTACAGGGGCTGCAGACCTTACAAGATGGTGATGAAGAAAGACAGGTTTCTTTGCAAGCCCCAGCCAGCTTTGCTGGCTGCTCTGGCTGCCGCATGTGCCACAAAAAGACGGCAGAGCAAGCAGGAAGAGTGATTTATAGAAAGGAAGAAATGCAACATGCTGAGGAAGATGGTGGGGAGCAAGAGCATCTTCTGGCATGGAGCTGCTGGGGGGCAGCAGCAAATATTCAAATGGCTCGAAGCAAGCAGAGCTGATGCGTGCTCCCATCCGTGCGCGTCCTGTGCGGCTGCGGCTGCCCGCAGGCAACAAGATGCTGCGGTAGCGCTAGCCCAAGGCAGGGGACCCGCAGACAGTAACGGCAGCGGAGACGAGAACCAGGTATCTTTAGGGTGAGTCAGGCCAACCGTTGGCCAAGGCACACCACCCCCGAGCAGGTCCTCGGGACACTGGGAATCGCCTCCATGCTGCAGGGAGGCTGAGAGCCCCTGCGTGGCTTAGGCAGTCAGGTGGCCGTTAGCCTGGGGCGTCCCCACCGGGGGTAACCATCCTCGAGCACCCTACAAAAACCAGCTGTGGTGGGGCTGGCGGGGGACACCCTGGGGCAGAAGTGGTTGTCTTGCCCCGTGGCCCTGCCAGCAGCGCTGCGTAGGAGCCGTCTTCTGACCCTCCCTGCACTGGCATTGATCCCCAAAACACTGCGCCTCTCCTAAGAGCTGTTGCTGAAGATGCACCATGGACCCGGCATCCTCGCACGGACACCGGAGCAGCGAGAAGGCGACTGCTGCCAAGGACTCCTCGGCCTCCAGCCCCCGCGGCTGCAGGGGAGGGCACGGAAAGTGGCAGCCTGGGGTAAGCGCAGGGTCCGCGGGGTGCGAGCACGCGGCGGGAGCAGCGCCACTTACCTTCGAGTCCGGCTGCTCCTCGAAGCTGAGCTTCTGCGTCTCCAGGAGGCTGCTGCCCATGCTGTCCAGCCCCATGTACCCACACACCTGCAAACTGGCCTCTCCTAGGTCCCTGGCTGCAGGAGAGGGGGGAAACGTGGGGATTAAAGAAAAGAAAAGAAACAGGATAGCTGCTAACTTTCCCCTTTGCAGAGACAAGGACAGCTCTGCACGGCACAGAGGCGGTGGCCCCGGGCTGCCACCCGGTGCTCACCTTTGATCTGCTCTTGCTTTAACTTCCACCCTGGCCCGGTCAGATAAACGCAAGGTGGGGGGCAGAAAAACCTGCAAAGATACGAGGATATTTTTGTGACTGTAGCTAAACTCCCAGAGACGGCGCTTAGCCGGGAAGGGCGGCTTGGGGGCTATTGCACGGCGCTGCTGAGACCGGAGACCTTCACCCGGAGCAAAGCCGCCCCCTGCCAGGTACGCGGCCTTGTGGGGGCGGGC